ATAGTATTCTTTAAATAGTATTCTCTTAATAATATTTTATTAAATAGTATTCTTTCAATAAATAATAGATAGATCTAAACTTGTTAACTTACAACAATATCTTAATAATATTCTTACAATAGATAAAATATTAAAAATATTAAATTTTTATTAAATTTTAATAAAAATATTATGCACCCCTAACTTGCGCATAATTGTCATAACCAACCAATTAAATATTATGTTCATAATTTTTACACAGTAGCAGTGACCAGTTTGCATAAGTTTAATGTCATTTGAGGACAATATAAAATAAAAATAAAAAATAAAAAAAATTTTTTATAATAAAATAAAGAAGGATGTTTACAATAGGCTGTCTACCATAAATCAAGTCTAGTTATTTGACTGGTAACTTTCGCAAATTGTGACCACGAAGTGTTTCTAGTTCTCTATTTTATCTTTTTTTGTTTTTTTAATTTTTTTTGTTTTTAATTTTTAAAATTTTTTAAAAATAAAATAAATATAAAAAATATAATATTTTTCAAAGTAATATAAAAAAGAGTATTCACAAATACTATATATAAAAATAATAAAATTAAATAAAAATTAATAATTGTTAAATATTATTATAAAAATAAATAATAATAAAAAATATTTAACTTTTAATTAATAATTAATTAATAAATATAAAATTTAAAATAGTACACGGTAGCAGTGACTAGCTTGCAAAGTTTAGGAGTCATTTGAGGACAAAAGATTAAATAAATCATTAAAAATTTCTCTATAGACAATATTCTTTATATAGATATTACTATCATTATCAGATTGTGCATTGTTTACCAAAATTTTAATTGTTTCATATGAAGTCACTCTAGAAAGAGCTACATAGAGTTGTTTATGTGAAAAAACTGATTGTGGCAAAGAGAGACTAACTAAAGAAATAGTTTGACCTTGACCCTTATTAATAGTCAAAGCATAGGCCAAACAAACTAGAAATTGCTTACATATTAAAATAAAAGAGTAGACAGTATCAGAAGGTGATAAAGTTATTTTTGGAAAAAAACCTCTTTGTCTAAGAAATGATTCTGTAAGAATTTTACAATCCAGAACATGATTATGAAATCCTTTCACAATAAGCCTAGTTCCATTACATAAACTTTCAGAAGGATTTATATTATGTAAAAGTATTATAGGTACTCCTACTTTAAGAGTAAGCTTATGTGAAGGCAATCCACTTGGTGTCAGTGTGTTGAGAAATTCTATTGGATATAAACTTTCATGAACAGAATTTATATCCTCAACAGAATCAGTAGAATAAAAAATTTGTTTCTCCTCTGAAATCAAATTAAGAACTTGATTGTTAATTAATTCTACATCATCATTTTTAGGTATAAGAATAGCTCTCTTAACAATAAAATTACTATCATTATATCTCGTAGAAATATTTGAAAATATCTCTGATATTAATGAAGTAATATCATTGCCATCTAAGATTATAGATCTTGGTAATTTAATGTAATCATCACCAGTTGTTGGTTCTCGACCTTCACCAATATGAAGCAAAAAGTTTACAAAATCTTGCTGTGATGCATCATGAAGAACTCGCATGTTAATAGTTAATTTCATAGTTTGAATATGTTTCCATAAATATGAATATTTCAAACTTGAATTAACTATTTGAGTCCTTGATCCTCGAGGTACTACTGGAAGAATTTGTCTAAAGTTACCACCAAATAGTATAACTTTACCTCCAAAAAACTTGGTATTGCCAGTCAGATCTTGGAATATGCGATCAAGAGCTTCAAAGGCTAATTTAGTAACCATTGGAGCCTCATCTCAGAGAATAATTTTAGCTTCATTGATCAAAACTGCCAATTCAGATTGCTTTGAAATATTACAGGTAGAACCCTCTATAGGTTTCAAAGGAATTTTAAATCTTGAATGTGCAGTTCGACCACCATCCAGTAACAAAGCAGCAATTCCAGAAAAAGCAACAGCTAAAGCAACATGACTCTCAGATCTAATTCGTGCTAAAATAATATTATAAAGATAGGTTTTACCAGTTTCACCAGGGCCATCAAGAAAAAATAACTTTTGAATTCCTTTATTATAAACAGAATTAATTATCATATCAAATATTTGCTTCTGTTCATTATTTAAAGTACTAATTTTTTGTAATTGAGTATTAATATAATCCTGATCATAACTTGTTTCTTCATTAAAAAATTGATTGGTAGCTCGTAAAGTAGATTGATGAAGAAAGGTTAGATCAGGTAAAGGAAGTTCAGGAAAATCTAAAAGAGATTTTCTATTTTGAAAAAGATATTTTTCTAAATCAAGAAGTACTTGTATAACTATTCAAAGATCATTATAATCTAAAGCTACACTTTAGAATTTGCATTATAAACAAAATCTTCAGATAAGGAAACCAAATGTGTATTTCAGAGCTCTAGAATATTAGTTGGATTACAATAAACTAAGATTGTTGCAAACAATTGCCTTAGTTGTTTAGGCATTGCATGAAGTGATGCTTCTCTAAGGTATAAATCCTACTCTTGATCATTTTCCATTAAACCAAGTTGAATAGCTGCTATTTTAAAAGAGGGATAATATATATTATTGATGGTTTTTAAATAATCAAAAGATGTTGGCCCTTTGATATGTGTCAATAATAACCTAAGACAATATCTTTCTATATCTTTTGGATTAACCATATACATATGTGCAATAACTTTATCACCTCTAAGTTTTCTTGGTTTCCATTGCTTGTTGCTCCACACATAGTGCTTTAGAAAATTAGTATATAAAAGATCAGTTGCATTTGAATTAGTAGAACATTTTTCAAAAAAGCGTGTCAACTTTGTATGTGAATTTTTATCTAATAAATTAGATAAATTCACATTAACATCATTGTCATTATATAAAACTAATTGTTCTCTATTCAAATGAACTGGTAATCTTTCAATGTAATGAGATTTTTTTTGTAACTTAAAATTAAATAAATGCTAGCAGAAACATATCTAGCATCAAGGTAATTTTTAATCTCATTATTTTCATCATTATCCTGATTTTTAACTGAAACAACAGCTCTATCTGGACCTTTGTAAACATATTTATAAAGATATTTAACAGATTTAATGCTAGAACATATCTCTATATTAATATGACAATTATATTTTAAACAAAGAAATAGATTGTATGAAACTACCCATCTATTGTCAAGATCATGACTAGCTTTTTTGACCTTATAACCAGTGTTTCTTCTACAATATAGTGGATAACTATTTTTATTTACAATGGTTGTACTATTAAAATTACGTAGATAATTTTTACTACATATACCATCTTTCATACATGGAGAAGATGGTTTAAGAAAACTACAAGAACTATGAATCATATGTTTAGTAACTATTTGATAAAGCTGAGGTTGAGTAATTGGATTAGGAATCTTAGCAGAAATCAAATTGTCATAAGTATCAGAAGTTTGTAGTTTATCTTCAGTAGTAAGTATAATAAGTATGTAAGCATGTAGTAATCCTCGTTTTTGAAATTCAATAATATGGATATGAGCTACGCTAAGTTTCAAAACACCTTTTTTATACAAATCATCAGTAATTTCTTTAAGCTTCAATCTAAAAACTCTTGAAATAATATCAGGATGATCATTAGATTTTTGGTCTTGTAAAAGATTCTCAGTTATTTCAGGCCAATTAGGATTACAGATAACAGTTATAAAAAGATCAGACTTACCAAATTCTCTTATAGTAGCCATAGCATCTTGGTATAACTATTGTATATATCTCTTTGAACCAGTAAATGAAGAAGGCAAAATTATTTTTTTCCCAATTTCAAGAGGATTAGCTTCATCATTATTAATGATATCTTCTAATCCTTTATAATATTCAACCTTTAATTGAGGTTAATTATTTTTAAACTATCTTAAATAATTTTGTTCCTATTTTGCATACTGGTCAATGATATATTGCTAAAATAAGCAACCAGCAAAATGTAAAATGCTATTAGAATCTCTTATTTGTAATCTATGATATGCAAATTCTCTAATTGTTATATGTTTTCATTGTTGCTAGAAATCAGTAGGATCTAATGATAAAATATTTAATTAATTATAATTAAAATTTAAATTATCATTAGCATTAGAACTCTGATTAGTTACAGTTGAATGCATAATTCCAGTATGCTATCTATACTCTCCTCTTGAAAAAAGAAGTGGATACTGTAAAGGATCATAAGCACTATATAATTCTAAGATATGTCATAAAGAACTCTGTTGCATAGTAAGAATAATATCTCTACCAGAATCAATTGTATCATCATCAGTAATTATAGCAGCAATTTCAGAAGCAACTAGTAAATTATAATTTCTCATATCTTGAGAAGATACATTAGAAAATTTTAATTTTAAAGCAGGATTTCTTGTGGCCTGCCATCTAGCACTTTGAAATATCTGAACAAAAGGATTAATATGATCAAGTTCAGTTTGTAAAGATCTCATCATATCCAAATTTAAATTTGGAGATGCTTCATTTCTTAATGCAAACTGGGTATCAAAATTACCATCATAGAAATAAATTTGTGCAAATTTAGGCTACCCACTTGGTGATATTAAAGAACCTATATTATGATATAAAGCTCCTTGAATTCTAAAAATATAAGGTTTACCTATTTCAAAAATGCTATGATCTGTAGTTATACCTAAAGATATAAAAGCAAAAGCTGAATTATAGGACCTTATATTTTGAATATATCTCTCACCAGTAGTAATATCAAATCTAGTTAATAACTGTGATATAGCTAGTGGAGGTGGTTCAAGTAATGCTAATTTAATTTTACTATTAAAGCAGCAAAATTCTGATGATTCATTTTTCTACTTTAAAGCTTAACAATAATTATATCTGATATTCAAATTACTAAGCTTATGTTGCCAAATAGAAAGATCAAAGCTATCTTCTAATTCAATATTAAAATCATCCAAACTACATCTTGCAATATTTCTAAATTGACTATTCTTTTTGTTGTAAATTTGTCGATTCCAAGGTTGTTGATTCAGTAAATACTATTGATAATGTTGTTGAAATAAATGATTGTAATCCACCTAATGCTGATATTGATACTAATTCTAAACTTGCTGGAGATGGTGTTGTTGTTGGTGATATTATTATAGAATTAGTTGTTAATATTGGTGCAGATATTGTTGTAAGTATTGTTGCAAGTGTTGTTGTAGTTGTTACTGCAGGTGGTATTGCAAATGTTGGTGTAGATATTGTTACAAATATTGTTGTAAGTATTGGTATTGATGTGCTTGCTACTACAGATGTTGCTGCTATTGTTATTATTGGAATTGATATTGCAGATGTAGATATAGATGCTTCAATTATTGAATTAGGATTTTCTTTATACCATTTGGTAACAGCTTTTCTTTTTCTATCTAATCTTCTAGTTTTTTTAGCTTTTGTTTCTGATAGTGAAGGTTTTTTATAATTATCATCATTAGCAATATGCGGAGGAGTAGGAGAAGTTTTACGTTTTGGTAGTATCTTAAAATTTTTAAATAATTAAATAAAATCTATAATTAAAAATTGGGTTTTAAAATTTATTGCACGTGCAATATATTGCACCCCTTCTGTTATATCAAAATTTTTACTATGAAACCAC